GAAGACATCTTATCATACTATGGGAAAACTGATATCCTTCTTAGTGGTGTATATTTACCGAGAGGTGCAATTATGTGTTCTGATGTAAACTGTAATGACATTTCTCACCGTAAAGATCTCTGTGTACAATGATATTGTTGGAGCTGTGTATGAGGCCAGCAGGTCATATCATAATTATTCTAAAAGGGTAAATTCTAACACCAAGCCAGGTTGGAGAAAGCATGTAGCTGCTCATCATGCAGAAGCTAAGGAGGCATTTAAAGCTTGGGTTCAGGAAGGCCGACCCAGACAGAGGCCTGTCCTGGATTATAAAAAGCTTACTCTCTCAAGGTATAAATATGCAGTTCGTTATATATCCAAAAATGAACAAATGATGAGAGCAAACTCTACGGCTGAAAAGCTGCTAAATAAGAATGTGACTGAATTTTGGAAGGAGGTGAGAACTCTAAACAGGAGCAATACATTGAGGGAGTCTCTGGAGCTGATAACATCGCTGAATTGTGGAAACAGAATTACTCAGCTTTATTTAATTGTGTTAAAAGTGACCCATATAAAGTGGGTAATGTTGCCAACAGGGATGCAGTAGGAATCACAACCATTGAGGTATCTGTTTGTCAGCGTCGCTTTGCAGCGTCGCTTTGCAGCTTCGCTTTGCAGCTTCGCTTTGCAGCTTCGCTTTGCAGCTTCGCTTTGCAGCTTCGCTTTGCAGCTTCGCTTTGCAGCTTCGCTTTGCAGCTTCGCTTTGCAGCTTTATACCAGGTTTCCATCTGTCAATTCAACACCAGTCTTAGAAATGTGTGGGCAGAACACAAAAACACACACACACACACACACACACACACACACACACACACACACACACACACACACACACACAGTGTTGGGTCAGCCTGCCGCCCACAGAGACTCCTCTGCAGCAGAAGTAACAGTTTATTTTTCTCAGACAGACAGCAACAGGTTGAAACAGGAATATTAGTTTGTGTGTGTGTGAGAGAGAGTGTGTGTGTGTGTGTGTGTATGTGTGTGTGTGTGTGTTTTGGGATTTCAGCTGAACACCTTTTATCTAAAAATGTGAATGAATAATTTTCAGGTTTATTTTTTAATTAATGGGCTTTTCAAATCAATCAAAATCACTGCAGTGTCTTATGTGTAACAAGTGTGTTTGTGTGCATTGCGTGCTGTGGTTGCCGTGGTTACCCAGGTCTGCCCTCCTCGCTCCCCCCTTCATCTCAGCCAGGGGACTGATAGGAAGTTACCACCCGTCACCATGGCAACACTGCACCATTAATCAAGCCGGAGAGGTAATTTATCACACCTAAGCACATTTGAAAAATGACTCAGTCATCCAAAGCTGCAGTTCCTCCAGCGGCCACTAGATGTTGCTGTGATGAAACTCAGACTGTATCGCGGTATCACCATAAAGTCAGTATCTTAGAGCTCTTAAATTGTGCAGGATCAGGAAGAATTTAATCTTCTACAGTGGGCGGACCTCTCGGCCTGCTGATCCAGAACGTGTGAAAAGGTAGAAATCTCCTGAACAAGAAAAAGTCAACACTCCGCCTCAGCAGCTTTGTCAAATACTATAAGTTCCTGTTAGACTTTATAGAATTCTAAACATTTCATATCAGTTTAGACGTTGGACATCTTTTGGAAGAGCTAAATCTGAGGCTTCAAATTAGAAGTTTGACCTTCTCATCAAACGCTCCAACTGGGACAAAAAGTCTCTTCTGTGTTTCATTCAACACTTTTAAACAGAGTGAAGAAGAAGAAGAAGAAGAAGAAGAAGAAGAGGAGGAGGAGGAGGTTGTCCTAACCTCCACTGAGTTTGAGAACTGCTTTTGAAAACTTTTCACATTTCTTTGATTTTACGGAGATGGCTCTTCAAAGGCTTCGGCCCCGTGCGCTGTGATAGCTTTTCAATCGTATGAGCGACACCTCCGAGGTCAGCGTGATATTTCCATCAAATCTAATAACTTTCTCTGGTTTTCACACATTTTCTGATGCAGCGGCAGGAGCCTCTGGGGACTGAGGTGCTTTAGTTCCTGCATGATAAAAGGAGAACATACTGCTGTGTGTTTCCCCCTCCTCTGGCTTCCAGGTTCATCTGTGAATTATAACTGGGGACAAACAGCAGTTTGGAAGGGATTCATTCTTCCACACAGAAATGCACAAAGCTGCTTTTTAAAGGTTTTTTCTCCTGCAGAACGAGTGGCAAACACTGAAGAAGAGGAAGTGGTGAAATATCAGAGTGGAGAAGGTTAAACCGTGAAGACTCAGCTCCTCTCCCACCGACGTCCTGCTGGGTTTGCTCAGTGTGCTCCTTCAACTGGTCAGACTCTGAGTTTAGATGCAATAACATGAAGACTGTATCACTTCTAATTAATATTCAGTTCAACAGAGATGCAGATGCAAACTTCTGTTGCTCTTTCTGCAGGTTTTGCATGGTTTTCAACAACCTTGAACAAAAGTTGTGTTCGTCTTTAGTTAGCGACATTAAAAATGTTAAAGTTTCCTCACAGGAGCTGCTGACACACTTTGACTAAAAGATCTGAGGGAAGTGGAAGAGGAAATGTAAAGAGATCCCGTTGTTTTGAAGAAAGTGTTCACTGGGTAGATTCAAATATAAATTGATACAAAGGTGGACACCATGGGTAGACATATCAGAGAGTAATGGGATGGTCAACTAGGTGTATAAAGATGATTGTTATTTAGCCCAAAGATAGATTCAATGGATAGCTGGTTTAGATATACTCATATGTACCAGTGTTGGGGAAGTTATTCGAAATGTAGTGAGCTAAAAGTTACTGCACAAAACGCAGCAAACGTAACTCACTACAAGCAATATGGAACTATTACACCTAGTGTTTAAAATGGGTACTGCAGTCCAAATTCAGAAGCAGGAGAACCCATGCTCACCTGTCTGCATGTTCACCAGCATCAAGTATTAGACAGTGATGTCACTGTCAAGAATACATGCTCGTGTATCGGCTGGTGTCGTCAACTCGACGATGATGGTTGGAGATGGATGGATGGATAGATGGATGGATGGATGGATGGATGGATGGATGGATGAATAGATGGATAGATGGATGGATGGATGGTTGGAGATGGATGGATGGATAGATAGATGGATGGATGGATGGTTGGAGATAGACTGATGGATGGATGGATAGATAGATAGATGGATGGATGGATGGATGGCTGGAGATGGATGGATGGATACCAAACCACTACTTCAATAAAAATGTTAATCAACCTTTAGGTTTGAAAACACTAAAACAAAAAAAACAGGAGAACTCTTGAAGCCAATTGAGTTTGGCTTTATTCTTCAAGTGGGCAGAAAAATGAAGAGCTTCTTTCTTTTAGACAAATACCACCCACAGACTGTTGGCATGGAAGACGACAGTGAAGTTACACAAAATCTGGAGACAGTTCATAAGAAGTGCTGTGCTTTAGAAGGACAGAATCAGGAAAATATCACAACAAATACTATGGAGACAAACTTCCCTCTCAACAAACATTGGGTCAAATGGTCAAGACTGTTTCTGTTGTGATGTTGAACACTTCACATCTAAACCTGAGCAACATTTCCTTCCTCTGAGTTATGGTTTCAGGCCACACTGATGTATCCGTGCAGCAGATTCTAAACATGAGTATAAAAAATGTTATCAGTCGCAATTAAAGAGCACATATTCTGCCCTTTTTAGGGTTCGCATATTTAATCTATGTTCCTACTTTTGTACGTTCAAAATAGATAAAGTCCGAAAAAAGTGTCTGTTTTCATGTCCTGCTTCTCCTTGCTCCCTCTCTGCTCTGAGTCCGTCAGCTACGCTCTGCTGAGCCCACACTGTTAGACCCCACGTGGGCCAAATCTGCTCTGATTGGTCTGCTGATCCGCTCTGTCGTTATTGGTCAGTTGCTCAGCACGCTTCTCGGAAATGTCCTGTTTTCTTTTACCATATTTCGAATGCAGCCACTGGCTCCGTCCGAGGGGAGCATAAACATTAGCACTACTGTGCTACCGCAGGCTACGGCATATCGTGGGCGTGTTACAGAAGTTAACGGGCGTGCAACATGAGCTGCTGGGCTTGCCACAACGAGCCAATGGGCTCAGATCAGTGATCTCACACTGACAATGACGTCGGACTGACAAATTTTTATCGAGGGGGGCTAGAACCGAGCGTTACATGCGGCTAATGCTACAGCTAACAGGAGGACGTAGGAGAAGCCGCGTTTCCGCAGACTTTGAATTTTTGCAAATAGATGTGCCTAAACATGTACAGGACACATGGAAAACACACTAAAGAGCATATAAAACCAGAAAAAGCATAATATGGGACCTTTAACTGTTGAAATTCAGTGATTAATCTCAGTTTTCAAAATGTCTCGTTTGACATTCCTGATTAAAATGAATCACATTCATGCCTTTAAAGATCACATATCCTCCTCCTCTTCAATCAGCTTAAATAAGTCTCAGAGCTCCTCAAAACATGTGTGTGAAGTTTTTTGTTCTAAATCCACTCTGATCCTGTATTTGATCATGTCTATAAACCCCTCTATTTCAGCCCTGCTCAGAACAGACTGTTTCTGTGTCTGTACCTTTAAATATGTAAATGAGCTGTGTCTGACCACGCCCGCTCTCTAGAAGGGCTTGGTGGTCTGGGGCTTTCTTGCTCCATGTCCTATTGTTTACGGTGAGAAGGCAGACTCAGAGGGCAGAACAAACAACTAGCTGTGGGAGTGTCACCCACCTGGGGGAGGGGCTACTGCCCTTTGTGATGTAATGAAGGGAAAATCTCCACACAGCCTGTTTGAGAACACATTTTCTGAAAAGTGGAGCAGGCAGAAGACGGAGAGGATGGACTTTTCTCATCATTGGGGTTTGTAGACAGACAAGAGACACATGTTAGAGTTAGAGGAACATGGAGTGGATGTATTTTGTATAATATGTGACCTTCATGTCCATTTTCTTTCTTCTTTTCTTTGCAGGCATCTTCAACACTGACCCTCTCCTGATGATGATACTGATTTGTCAGTCTCTCATTGAACAAAAGAAGAAGATCGTTTAAACCAACCAAACATTCTCCATCCCAACATGGCAGACGACCTCTACAGCAGCACCTTCTCCGCTTCAGAATCAGACTTCTCGTCCGCTTCTTCCTCCTCCTCCTCTTCCTCCTCGGCCGCTGCCTACGTCCTCACGCTCGAGCAGAGGGCGGCATTCGTCTTTGTCCTCATCCTCTTCATCTTCCTGGGCTTGCTGATCGTCCGCTGTTTCCGGATCCTGCTGGACCCGTACCGCAGCATGCCGTCCTCCACCTGGACAGACTATATGGAGAAGGACACCTTCGACTACCGTATTTCCTGACAGGCAGCCTGAGAGGCAGCAACCCTGACAACCAACAAGTTAAACTGAGATGACGATCACACTGAACCAGTAATGCAGAAACACAAGCGCACATTTCCCCCTTCAACAAGACTAGCTGGCAGCATGATGGGAAAATAGTTTCAACATTCATCAGCTCTTTCTTTCAAGTTAGCGTCCAAATAACAATCTGCTTTCAGGGCTGGGAGACAGGACAAACAGTTTTACAAACAGTGGAGGTGCCCCCCCTGCTGGACATTAGAATATGAATGCAGATTTTTTTCATTTCTGTATTCGCTTCATTTTTTAAAACAAGGAGACTACGTCCATTACTTAAGTACAGTCTATGCTTCAGCCTACAGATGATACAAAAAATTAACCAATACAATTTTTCATTAAAAAAAAAAAAAGGTAACTCAGAAATAAATGGTTCCCCTGCTCCTGATCAAAAATCAAAACACAGATTTCTGGCCTTTCACTTCTTTCTGAGACTTTATCCCACTACCCACTACTCCACCTCGGGTTAAGGCCCAACTATCCAGGGACACGCAGTCTTTAAAATGTAGAATTCTAATTTGACCGTGGGTAAACAGAAGAGTCTGTACTCACATAAAAGGGCGACAAGTTTACAATGAGTCGACTCTATAGACATTTTTGATAAATTTGGGAAAGTGCACACTGTGTTATTCTGCTTCCTGTCTGATAGTCGTCTCAGTCTGCCTGGCAGGCACTCATCTGGGCAAAAAACACAACATGTATCAACAATGCAAATAGGAAGAAATGTTTGATTCAATTAATTAATTATAACTGTGTTTCAAATGTGTTGAAAATAAGAATTTATGACATCGATTCTTAATTTTAATTGACAATCTTTACATGCAGGTCACGGAAAGGTGCATTGTCTCGTCTCGCATAAGGTTTTGCTAATTTTCAGCCCTGCAAATCTCCCGTCAGGCTCATGTAGACATAACAAAGACGAGTATATACAGTATAATGCTGCAAATCTAGGGAGGCATTTACCAAACAACACCTGTTAGTGAGACATAAATAATTATGGAGATTTTAAATATATTTGGACTATGTTTTGGAAATTAAGTGTTGAATGAAGACATGGAGATATATTCTGTGTGCATCTTTGATTTTTTGCCCAGATCTTCCACCTATTGCAGAACTCCCTCCTCTCTGCAGCTCTGCAGCGTTCAGCAGCTATGCAGCAATAACATAAAGCAGGTGTATGTTATGTTATGTATGCTGAGGGAGGGTTTCTTTGATTTCTATTAAACTGCCTGCCAGGCAGCGTGTTGGGGTTGCTGTCTCTCAATGGAGACAAACTTTTATTTTACTTTTTTTGTTTTACTTTTTGTTCTTTTTTGACCAAATAGACAAGTAAAGTTTAATTTTTCAGAATTTTTTCAGAGAGCTTGTGATGCTCCGAGAACAATGTGGTGTTATTTTGGAGCGAGGAGGGAGGAGGCGGAGGCCCTGGGAGACTTGGATGCAGGAACATAGAGGAGTGATGGAGGCTGTGTAGAATCACTATGACTGCAGAGACGAGACGAGCCGGTTTCCAGCGACTCTCTGTCATCTTGCCAGCTCGCTTGTTGCTTAGTAACCAGTGTTTTTGGTGCCAGTTGATGTCTGAACACCGGGCGTATCACCACGCAGCCGACCGGCACACACGCCTCTGTCACACGTCTGCAGCCAACCCTCCTCAGCTCTGGAGAAAAGGAGACGGAACACAGGGAGGGTGACAAATGAGCACCAAGAAACACGACTGACCCACCAAGGGGATGTTTCTAAAAACATGGAAAACATGCCAGACACAGAGGTTGGTCTCCTTTCACACACTGACTCTTTGTTCTGCATCCAGCATTGTTTGATTCTCCAGAAATTAACTTTAAAATTCGTCTTCAATTATTAAGATTCAAAGTTTTCAGGAGATCCAGAACGTCTTAAAATCACTAACCCCAAATACACAGAAATCCGGTCCTGATAGCTTTCCTGCAGGTTTTTTGATGACCATATTTTTCACGAGGTATTAAGGAGAAGTTCTTTTGATGATAGCAAACTAAGCTAACAAATACGTCATCTCAGAGCCCAACAGCTATTTTCTGATTAAGACTTGAAATTTGCGAGCAATTGCAAATTTTGGGTGGCTTTCCGATGTAGACAACCACTATACCACAAAGAAAATAATAATTTCTCGTCTAAAACACCTTTTTCCATTCTAGTACCTTTAATTACTGTTGGGCTTAGGACCTAAGAGTGTAAGTGGAGTTGAGAGATAAAGTATACAACAGGAATGCCTGCTGGTTAGGTGGGGCTAGTTTTTTAAAACATAGACACCAAGGCAGGACACAAGAAATTAAAAACAATGCTTGACTTGTAAGAGGGTCTCCTGGCAAGAGAGGGGTTGCATGCATGGAAAGTGGTCAGAGGACAACAGGTGAGCTTGCAGGCACAATGCAAGCTGGCGTGAGTCCAGAGATCCTGAGAGATCTGATGCTGAAGTGAAATCGGGGCCCAAACAAACATGCATGAACACATACACATGTAGAAGGACTTGGAGAAATCAGGATGCTTATACTGACCGGTCTTTTTTGCAGTCCAAACTTTAGGCATAATTGTTAATTCTCTTTTTCTTCAAATTTAAAACATTAGTGTGAAAAACAAGATTAAATTGTCAGTACTGAACAATTCTAATGAAATCAAATGAGCTGAAATCTAATGCACAAAAAAAGCCATAGAGCAGAACTGCTGCAATATTTTTTGTTTTCTTTGTCTTCCTACAGCAGCGTCCATCAGGCAACCTGCAGCAGACACTCTGGATGTAATGGTCTTCTTCATGGTTGGAGGTCTTCTACAAACCCTAAGCCTGAGGCTGAAAATCCCCCTCAGCAGCAATGGCTTGAAGTCAGAGGGTAGTGAAAGGGTGCTCCCTCCCAGGATTGTATCTGCAGACGTGTCCTAACTGTGAAACACACTGCACACAACAAGGAAGTGTTACTTAACCTCTTCAAAGTTATTTGTTAATTTTCCAGAGTCTCCTCCTGGCCTTGCTTGGGGTCCCACACCTCAGATTGAACAACCTGCAGTCAGCAGAAAAACATCAAGGTCATTCCTCCGTCCTTCCTCCTCGTTGGAACCAAATCTTCACTCCTCTGTAATTCTTTATAGTTTTAGGCGCTCTTCTGAGGGCTCCTCTCTGCAGGGTGACTGAGCCTCTGCCTGAAGGAAAAACTGCAGAAACAGAAACAGGAACGAAAACACGACAAATTACTTATTTTATTTCTCCTCTTGACTGCTGAGAGACGGTCCTCCCCTCCTTGTCGAAGCCTCTGCTGTTTGAACACAGCAGGATTAGATGGAGGGTGGATCTAAAATCTCAACAACCATGATGGATTTATTCTTTTTTTATAGTTGAAAGATGAAGAAGTTCTTCTGTTTTTTGGGAAACATCAAAGATATGGGGCCCTGTTGGATCTCACACAGGGCCCTCGAAGGCATCAGAGTTGGAATATAAAACAGGAGGATTGGCTTCTCCTTCAGCACATAAGTGAGGATCACTGAAGAGTTTCATTTCCGGCCCTTGTGGAAAATATCAGCTCATGTTTATTCTCTCCAGTTAGTGGTAATGATAATTACTTTTAACTGGTTATGTCAGTAAAATGCATTAAAATTATTTCTTTAAATGCTGGATACGCTCCCATATTTTTAGAAACGATTTCCAGTTTTCCTTTTGCATTGCTTCTTATTGTTTTTTTCTATAGCAACACATGTTGACATATCTTCAAAGGTCCAATCTTTCAGATGTGTAATGACTGAAATGATAAAGTGAGCTTACTATATGATCAGACATTGAGGAAACATGCTATGTTGAAGTGCTGGCTTCTCTGACAACAATGCAGCAGCCAGTATGTCCTCCTTCTAACTTTAGATTCTGCTCCTGAATGCTCTGGATTTGTTTGAACCAGAGAAGGTAGGCGCTTTTAAGGCTCCCACAAAAGGCCGTTTTGGACACCCCTCGGTTTGTCAGATATGAGAGCAGTTATCAGGTCAACAGGTGTTGCAGCGATGGAAGCGGTCAAGAGAAGTGGTTCAGATAGAAGTGATTGTACCCGACATAAAAAGCCTCTGCATGTTTCTAATAAGCTCCACGAGCAGAAACGTGCTCAAACTAGGATCAATATTGGAGATGCTTTTGAAAAATGGAGAGAGGTTAGAACACAGAAAGGTTTACAGACCCATGCAGAGCTGGATAAACACTGAAGCTTCAGAGTCCACCACATGGTGACCTGTGTGAGCATCGACTCTAGAGAGGAGGGGCGGGGAAACACTAGTTGTCAGAGTTACATATTGCTCCTGTAATGTATTGGTTCTTTCTTGGTTTGTTCACATATTTCAATCCTATAGCTACCACCCTTTAAGCTTTTAAGAGACACAAGTCTGTAAGTGCATGCTCACAAAATGCCCAGAATAGATTTTAGTCAAAATGATCTGGATATCAAACGATAAAATGCATACCTAAAATATTGGTATTTCTCTTTTAATCTAAGTTCAACTTAGAGAATCTTGTGTCTTCTTCCAAGTTATTTAATTTTGAATTGAAATACGGTATTCCAAGTATGTAAACATTTTCTACCCATTTCCTGGTAAATTTTGACACAGCAGCTGAGTTGAATCCCATTTTGTTTCAACTCTTCAGCTTTCCTCACTGAAGGTGAACTGAAGCATCTGTTAGGAAGGTACTCTGATCTTATACTGAGAATGTAAAGTACATCGTATACACACACGCATATACAAACATATATCAATGTTTGTACTTCTACACAAGAGATCTCCATTATCAACATGAAGCAAGTTTACTGGCTTTATAACTGCTTATACTCTACAGGTATTTTAAGCTGCTGTCCCTGCCCCCTTGTTAAAAGATTTTTGTCTTAATGACACCCAGAATTTAGTTTAACACATGTGCTGAATCCAAACTTACTATTTAGATTTACAATCGTCACAATGATACAAACAAACTGACAGAACAGAGGTAGACGAGCAACATGGCAGAGGGGTCTCCTGTGTCCCTGGGAGGGTCTCCTTAGGCAAATTTGTACCTCTCGCTGCTAGAAAACAATAGATTGCTCCCTCTGGATGGGAAGTGAGTCTTTCCCCAAGTGAATTATCTGGGGTTCTTGTTCACAGTGAGGGTAAAGTGCATCGTGAGATTGACAGACGGGTTGGTGCGGCATCAGCAGAAATGCAGGCATTGTACCAGACTATCGTGGTAAATGGGGAGGAGCCTGAAGGCAAAGCTCTCGCCCTTCGTTCCAAAACTCACCTGTGGTCCTGAGCTTTGGGTAGTGTACAAAAGAGTAATATTATGGATACAAGCTGTTGAAATGAGTTTGGCAAGTCTCAGCCTTGGAGATAGGATGAGGAGTTCAGACATTTGGAGGGAGCTCGAAGTAGAGCCGCCGCTCCTTCACATTGAAAGGAGCCAGTTTAGGTGGTATGTCTCCTGGTCACTGGACCCCTGGGTAACCCCAAACCTTGGTATGTCCCATCTGGTGTGAGGTAAATCTAGGTTTAGACCTAACCCTGGATAAGTCGAGGAACATGGATGCTTAAAATAAACTTACCTCAACACAATGGCAATCTTTAAATGGATCTTGTCCTTCCAATATATAAAACTATTGTCAGGGTTTTTTTTTCATCCTGACAGCTACTTCATCCTGACTTGTCCTCCCAAAGTAGGAGTGCAAACACACTTTCATGTTTATTCCCCACAGCAGTGCGGACACACTCATACACACATACATACACACTTGCACACAGAATATACAGTGTTAAAATGTAACCACATCTACAGTACTGCCTTTGTATCCATGTGCACACCTTGTAAGCGCACACAACGCACACCAACTGTTAAATAAAACATAATGCGGCAGTTACAACACACACATCCAGCAACTCACTGCCGAAACAAACCCTCGAACCACTTTAATCCTGCCTCCATCCTTACGTCCTTTCCTCCATCTTTCATCTTTATCGTCTGTATATGTCTCTCAAATTCACCTTTTGTGTCTTTATCTCCCTCGACTTCAATTCTTCTTATCGTCACGGCTGGCTTATTTTTCCTCAAACTTTGCCTTTTTTAATTTAATTTGGCTTTGCTGGCTTGACAGATGATATACACTGTTTTTGAAAAAGTGTATGAGAAAGAACAATATAAGATAGAGGAAGGCCGAGCAGGAAAAAGAGAGGCTCTCTGATAGAAAGACTTCTCACTCCATCTTATCTCTTCAGT